GCGCGCCTGCGCAGTGGGCACGTCGCAGTCCCCGCCCCCAGCTCAAGCGTTTCCTCTTTAGCCTCGGGGTGTTTTTTCCCACGGCTTTTACCTGCTGGGCTCTAGCGTTGAGCAGCAGGGGAATTGGGGTAAAAGGATGAAAAGAGAGCGAACGAGTTTTCTTACTATAGACCAGGCACTGTGATAGGCTTGTGACGTGTTCTTTGTTGTGATTTTTGGCAACCCTGTAAGATAGGCACTCTTATTAAATCCATTTTACAGACGAAATTGACATCCAGAGAGAATTAACTACCTCCACTAGCACGCAGCTAGTAAGTGAGGGAACTGAGGTTGGAATACGGTCTGTATTCAGGGCGCATGGTTCAGTCGGTTAAGCATCCGACCTCGGCTCAGGTCATGATCTCATGGTTTTGTGAGTTTGAGCCTCACGTCGGGCTCTGTGCTGACAGCTCAGAGCCTGGAGCCTGCCTCGGATTTTGTGTCTCCCTCTCTCTCTCTCTTTCTCTCTCTCCTGCTTGCACTCTGTCTCTCGCGCGCTGTCTCTCAAAAATATGAAAATGAAGAGCCTGGAGGCTGCTTCAGATTCTGGTCTCCCTTTCTCTGCTTCTCGCCCTCTCTCACTGTCTCTCAAGGGTAAATAAATGTTAAAAGATTTTTCTTTTAAATATATGGTTTGCGTCCTAGATGGCAAGGGTAAAAGGCAAAAAGAATTGAAGACACAGTCGAGACAGGAAGGGGGATGGGAGATTAAGGAAGAGTAAATGAATAGGGAAGAAGCAGAAGGCAGGGAAACAGGAAATCTGGTACATAAAATGCTGATCTATCTTGGATTTATTTCAGATATGCTGTAAGATTGTCAAACAAATGATTTTTTGTTTCACAAACTTGGGCTCCCTTACATGTTAGCATAGTGAGATGAGAGGTTCTGAATGAGAATGTTTCATTGTAAGGGGAAGGTTATAATTATCACCTGCCACCTGAAATCATGCTGCCCTTCTTTTTTTTTTTAATTTTTTTCAACGTTTTTTATTTATTTTTGGGACAGAGAGAGACAGAGCATGAACGGGGGAGGGGCAGAGAGAGAGGGAGACACAGAATCGGAAACAGGCTCCAGGCTCTGAGCCATCAGCCCAGAGCCCAACGCGGGGCTCGAACTCACGGACCGCAAGATCGTGACCTGGCTGAAGTCGGACGCTTAACCGACTGCGCCACCCAGGCGCCCCTATGCTGCCCTTCTTGAGAAGGGAACTTGGAGGGAGGAGAAGAGAGGAGAGACTTCTTTTTGGTTTTTAGGCTTTTGCTAAATATTAGCCCCTCTGATCCTCTCTTCCTGTCATAGCTCTGGGAATCTCACATCTTACATATTGCGTAATAGCAATTGCAAGAAAATAGTTATCTCATTTATTTTTTTTAATGTTTATTTATTCTTGAGAGAGAGAGGAAGACAGAATCCCTAGCAGACTCTGCAGTCATCACAGAGCCCAGTGCGGGACTGGAATTCACAAACCGTGAGATTGCGTCCTGAGTGGAAATCAAGAGTCCACCGCTTAACCGACTGAGCCACCCAGGCACCATAGTTATCTCATTTAATTCTCACAGCAATCTTATGAAATATGTATCTATCATTATTTCCATTTCACAGATGAAAACACTGAGGTTTAGAGAGATTAGGTGGCTTGCCCAAGTTTGTGAAACAAACTGTCAGCACAGAGCCCGATGTGGGGCTCGAACTCATAAACTATGAGATCATGACCTGAGCTGAAACCAAGAGTTGGACGCTTAACCAACCGAGCCACTCAGGTGCCCCCAATAGCTAAATTTTAGAGCAATTTGTTACCCGACAGTAAATAATTAATACAAAGGCTCTACACAATCATGGTCCTTCTTACCTTTATGTCTTCATTTCCTATTCTTTTCCCTTAATCCTTAGGTTGTCCTGCCTCAGGGCCTTTGCACTTGTTCACTCTGCCTGGAACACTTCCCCCAGATATCTCCATGGCTTGTTCTTCACCTCCTTCAAGCCTTTGCTTAATTGTCGCCTTCTCAATAAAGCCTACCATGACCACCATATTTGAAATTACAACTTCTCTCATAGCACTCTCAATGTCCTTTCTCTATTCTACTTCCCCCCTCCTGCATGGCATCTATCACTTTCTAACATACTATATGGTTATTTTCTTTATGGTGTTTATTTATTGTATGTCTCCTCCTTCCATCCCCTACTATGCTACAAGCTCCAAGAGGACAGGAATTTTTATTTTGTTCACCGATCTATCCCAAGTACTTAGAACAGTGTCTGGCACAGTTAGGTACTCAGAAGATATTTGTTGAATGAGTGAATAAAAATTTCACAAACATGCCAGACACTTAGGTGAATTGTCAGTTGGGAGATATGAATAGCAAAGGCAGATACATCTGGAGTATGGTATTTAGGTTTTATACAAAGGGACACATAGAAGTGTGAAGTTAGAGAAACACAATCTAGGGGTGCCTGGGTGACTCAGTTGGTTAAGTGTCCGAGTTCTGCTCAGATCATGATCTCACAGTTCATGAGTTCAAGCCCCACATTGGGCTCTCTGCTGTCAGCACAGAGCCCACTTCGGATCCTGTCTCCCTCTCTCTCTGCCTCTCCCCACTTGCCCTCATTCTTCCTCTCTGTCAAAAATAAATAAACATTGGGGTGCCTGGGTGGCTCATTTGGTTGAGGGCTGACTTTGGCTCAAGTAATGATCTCATGGCTCGGGCGTGTGAATTCGACCCCCTGTGTCAGGCTCTGTGCTGACAGCTCAGAGCCTGGAGACTGTTTCCAATTCTGTGTGTCCCCCTCTCTCTCTTGCACTCTGTCTCTGTCTCTCTCTCTCTCTCAAAAATAAAATAAACATTAAAACCTTAAAAAACATTAAAAAAAAACAAAAAACAATCTATAGAGAGGTTGATGTTTTGTTGTAATTATTTTTGGTTGAGAAGAAGGAACATTTAGGGAAAGAACAAAGGTATGTTAGCATGAACCCTGTGAAACTGCCAATGTTCAACAATTGCCAAGTATCCCAAACAGCAATTTAATACGGAGAAAGGAAAATTGATGGCATAAATACTCAGCAGAAATGAAAAGGAGATGGAATCAAGCATGAGTAGTGGCATTAGCCCTGAGTAGGAAAAAGGATGCGTCCTTAGAGGCTGAAAGCAATGAGATGCGGTAAGCAGAGACAAATTTTGGGGGTAGCCACCACACACCTCAATGGCAGCTGGATTCTGGGGAAAGTAAAATGTGTAGTTATCTGCGGAGAAGAACAGCCAAGGTTTAGCACTATAACACTTTTTTGCAAAGGCAGTTTAAGTGAAAGCCCAACTAAATAAAGAACAGAGTTGTTCTGAGTGAAGGATGGTGGGCTGAGCCCTGACGTGTGGGCGTTACCCTCGGAGCCATCAGTTTCATGTACCTTCTTCTGGCAGGCAGGGGTACACACCTGCATAGGATTACCCTTGACTCATCACAGAACAGCCTCTGTGAAGGTCAGTCGTGCTGAACAGTGTCTATCAGCAGCACCTGCCCTGCAGTCTTCTGACTTTTGCTCCGGTGACCGGATCGCTAGCCTCTCACCGCCTCCTTGCTGCCAGAAAGACTGCGGCTGTAATTTCCTGTCTTTGAGCAGCCATAGAGACGCCTGGCCTTATCTCGCGCCAGCAAAACTTGCATCTCCAGCCAGCCCTCCCTTTTTTCCTTTGCCTTTATCTTCCAGGACTCAGTCATTCAGAAGTGACTTGCCTGTTTGTGGTAGAGATAGAAGAGTGCGCTCTCAACTTAAGCTAATGGAAAATTCCACCTGGGCTTTCTATATACGAATCTATTCCTATGGTTATACACAGTGTATTCGCTCTGCAAAAACCCAACAACAATATCAAGGTCAGGATGTTGTCATGGTGTGTCTGGAGTAGGGTGGAGATACATGTTACTGGAGTTGAGGTCCAGGAGAGAGGCTAGCATGTTGGAGGGATCGTCACCCAGGATGGTTGCGGAATTTGTGTTTAGGGAGGAAGACTATGAACAAAAGGCTACAGATGTCAACGGATGCAAGGAAGTGTCCTGAATATACATAGATAATAATTGTTAGCATTTACTGAGTGTTTACCGTATGCCAGGCACTGTCTTAAGTGCTTGGCTTAGTTTGTCTCTCATAATCCTCTCAGTAACCCTATAAGCTAAGTGTTCTTTGTTATTTTTATTCGTCTTGACTCAGAACCTGAGATGGTGCCTGGTATATGGTAGGTACTCAAGCCAGATCAGGTCACTCCTCCACCTTAAACCCTGCGATGGCTTCTCACTTGGTAGAGGCAAGCACTGGGAGATGTGGGAGTCTAGAGAAGAGCTTCAGATGACGGAGAGTGGATGAGAGCTGGCTCTACACGGGACTTCAGTCTTGAAGGACAACCGAGAGTTAGCTAGGTGACACAGTGGGAGAAAGTCATTCTAATCAGACATGGTAGCATGTGCTAACTCATGGAAGCGGAGCAAAACAGCGTATAGTTGGAGAATGGCAGTTAACGCCTTACGGCCGGACCGTACCTGCTAGTATTTATTGAGTGTTTTTTATGTTCACACTGTGTTAAATGCGTCACACAGATGACCACATTTAATCATCATGCAACTCTAGGAAGGTAATGTTACTATCCCCATTTGACAGGTAAGAAAACTGGGGACAGAAAGGTTAGGCGGTCCAAGGTCTCAAAACTAGTAAGGCGGAGGTGTGGGTAGGTGGTGATATGGGGATGGATGGAGCCTGACAGAGAGCTGAGGCTCTAGAGAGGTAGTCAGGGCCCAGATGAAATCCTTGTGTATTAGTCTACTTTAGCTGCCATAACAAAATACCACAGACTGGGTGACTCACACACCAGAAATTTATTTTCTCATGGTTCTGGAGGCTGCAAGTCTGAGATCAAGGTGTTGGCAGGGTCACCGTTCTTTCGAGGTCTGTCCTCTTGGCTTGCAGATGGCTGTCTTCTCTGTGTGTCTAAACTTACGTGGTCTTTCCTCTTGTTGTGTCCGTATCCTAATCTCCTCTCCTTGATGAAGACAGCTGTCATATTGGATTAGGGCACACCCTTATCACCTCATTTTAACTTAATTACCTCTTCAAAGGCCTTATCTGCAACTACAGTCACATTCTGAGGTACTGTGGATTGGGACTTCAACATGAATTTGGGGGAGGGTACAATCTAGTCCATAAAACCTTGCGTGGCACATTCGATCATTTGGCCTCTATCATATAAGGCAGTGGTACCCAAACCTGATGGTGACCCAGAATCACCAGAATCACCAGAATCACCTTTGTGATGCTACTCATTCTTGGTTACCCCCCCCCCCCCCCCCGTGGCTGTGTGATTCAGAGTCAGTAAAACTAGGTTATGTTTTGGGGAAATGTAAAGCTTCCCCACAGTCTCCAGCTCATTCTGGTGCCGTGTCTATCTGGGCTATGTTTTGGGGAAATCAATTCCAGGTTGATTTCAGAGAGAAATGTGAAAGGCAAAACTTCAACATTTTTTTTTTATTTTTATTTAAAAAAAAAATTTTTTTTTCAACGTTTATTTGTTTTTGGGACAGAGAGAGACAGAGCATGAACGGGGGAGGGGCAGAGAGAGAGGAAGACACAGAATCGGAAACAGGCTCCAGGCTCTGAGCCTGAATCAGCCCAGAGCCTGACGCGGGGCTCGAACTCACGGACCGCGAGATCGTGACCTGGCTGAAGTCGGACGCTTAACCGACTGCGCCACCCAGGCGCCCCAAAACTTCAACATTTTTAAAGAAAATACAAGAGAGTACAATTTCATCATAGGGTAGAAAATGATTTCTTAGACTAGTGGTGTTCATGCTTTTTGCTCTTATGTCTCTAGAAGAATTTTGAAAAATTATGGATCCACTTTCACATGTTTCATGTGACATAAAAAGGTTTTCATTATAAGTTAAAATAATTACAAAGGATGTAATTTCCAGTATATTATAAAGATTGCATTTTTTTTTTTTTTTTTGAGACAGAGAGAGACAGAGCATGAACGGGGGAGGGGTGGAGAGAGAGGGAGACACAGAATCGGAAGCAGGCTCCAGGCTCTGAGCCATCAGCCCAGAGCCCCACGCGGGGCTCGAACTCACAGACCGCGAGATCGTGACCTGAGCTGAAGTCGGACGCTTAACCGACTGAGCCACCCAGGCACCCCAAAGATTGCATTTTTTAAAGGAATTTCTATACCCAACGTGGGACTTGAACTCACATCCCTGAGATCAAGAGCCTCACACTCCACCGACTGAGCCAGCCAGGTGCCCCTCCAATGTATTATAAATGTTGGCATAAAAACCAAATCTATCATTAGTTTAACTGAATTTTAAATACCATAGTGATTTGGTACCCACTGTCATCCACTTGAAAATTAAAGGAAAAAGCTCTTCTGTAGGAGCCAGAAAATTTATATCTATTTTTGTCTTTATTTCATTTATCCATTCCACTTCCACCATAGAATTTTATCTTAATGTGATATATTTTATACTTTAAAGTCTTTTATTGATCACCCTATCATATTTCTTTGCAGCAGAACAGTGAATATAAAACATTTTTTTAAGGAAATGTCCTATCGACATATTTTTAGCTATTAAAACATTTCTCTAGATTGAGTTATTCATAAATTGGTATAAAATTGCTCAAAACATAAATATTTTATACATTGATAAGTGAATGGAAAACTTAAAAAGTCAAATGTTATTAGAAATGCATCCTTGAATGAGCTGGATATTTTCCCCCTCCCGTGTATGGAGGGATGGATACAACCTGTTGCTGGAATGAGAGTTTAGGTTCAATTCTATTTCTGTTTTTATCTGATTGGATATGTGCACTGAGAAATTTGCTCACACATATAAGAATATGAAAATATAAATAGTATTGTAATAACATTGTAGTTTAACTATCTGAACTCTTTCTGACTTCTTTGCCAAAAGTCACATGGCAATCCATCAGAAATGTCATTTTATGATCTATTGTCTGGCTACCGGATTAGATTTTCCTTCAAATTTGTTGAAAGTAAAAGATTGGAAACCACCTGACTGGCAAAAGGATTTGTTACTCATTCACTAGAGTCATTCACTTTCTCAGCTTCTAGGAATGATACCCAAAAGGCTTTTTAGATGACTAGTAATTATACTTCTTTACTTTTTCATTGAGGGGTAACTTATTCAATCTGATATACTCAGAAAGGGTTGGGAAAATAAAAAATACTGTTAATTTGAATATTTGCCAATATCATATTTTAAAATAAATGCTTCTATTTTATCTTGTCCCTTGAATATATTTTCATCAAAAGTTTTTGGAGCTGCTGATGTGAGTTTATTCAGTTTTGGGAAAATGCCCCACTGTATAATCTAACTGGCAGTCAGTCCTATTCATCAACAACAAAAGTCAAATACTTATTTTGTTTTAAAAAGTCAGACTTTTGCTTTTCAATTCAAATAAAAACGTGGTAATGCATTCCTTGTAACAACTATCTCATTTCTGAATTCGAATTCTAAGATAGATGAAGCTGAGTCTTGCCATGAATTTGCTGCCTGGATGAAATAAGGCACTGCCAGCTTCAGGATTTCTTACCAAAGCTCTCATTGCTTTCTTCTCATGGACCTGTCTCTCAGAAGCACAAAAAGACGCAAGAGTTTGACTAGCAGGGGCTTCCTCAGCATGAGTAGGTTTTAAACAAGTAGAGAAATTGATTGAATTGTACACACATGTCCATATCCTTGACACCTGGATTCTACAATTAGTATTTTACTATGTTCCCCTTAATACCCTTTTCCATCTACCTGTCCCTCTATCCATTGTCAGGGAGGAAGATCTTACTCTGCCCTCTAGTCTTTCTAAGTGGACTTAGAATCAAATTGTCATGAGACAGATTGACAGGAGAAAACCAAACTGAATAGACGTGCATATGGTAAATCTACACTCGACAGAGATTCCAAAGACAGTGGGGTGACATGAAGCTTACGTGAACTAAGGAGAGGGTAGGGGCTGAAGATACAAAGGGGAGAAGGCCATTAGCAGGAAGGTGAAAGGAGATGTTTGGAAAAACAAGGTCATTCTATTATGCAGGTAAGTTGCTTAGGTAAAGGGGAGTCTCTGTCGATAGCTCTTTTCCTGGTAGAGGCTCCCCTTTCCAATGTAAAATTAGGCAATTTTGGCGGAGGCAGAGAGCTTTTCCTGCTTCTCCTGGATTTTGGTTACTTTTAACTTGAAATAATCTTTATGCCAAAGTGGCCCATCTTGGGGCAGCCTGCTCTGGGCCCCTATACCACACATCAACGCATCGTATGTGTTTATGCATCTTAAAGTAAGGTTCAGACATTAGTACGCTTCACTCCCGAAAACTTTAACATGCATGTTATTTACCCTCGTGTTCTTTCGTTTGAAACAATCTTCATTCTCACCCCGGAAGCGACCACTATTCTGATTGTTTTCTCTGGGAATTCATTTTCCCTGTTCTATAATTTAATGTACAGTATGTACACTTCAAACGTTTTTCTTCTTTTTTTTTTTAAATTTAAATCCAAGTTAACATATAGTGTAATCATGATTTCAGGAATAGAATTTAGAGATTCATCACTTACCTATAACCCCCAGTGCTCATCCCAACAAGTGCCCTCCTCAATGCCCATCACCCATGTGGCCCATCCCATCCCTCACCCACCTCCCTCCAGCAACCCTCAGCTTGTTCTCTGTATTTAAGACTCTCTTATGGTTTGTCTCCCTATTTTTATCTTATTTTTCCTTCCTTTCCCCCGTGTTCTTCTGTTGTGTTTCTTAAATTCCACATAGGAGTGAAATCATGTGATATTTGTCTTTCTCTGACTTATTTCATTTGGATAACGCACTCTAGTTCTACCAGTATGTACACTTTTAACACCAATGTATTGATTTGCTCCCTTGTTTGGCTCACCAGAGGTTTCATACTTAGCGGAATGAACAATACTAAGATTCAGACTGGGGAAAAGGGACACAGGCATTTGTGAAAGGAAAGGTGGAAAAGGAGACCCAGAATGAAGCCACCACACAGGCATTCTGAAATATTTCACTTTTGGGGCGCCTGGGTGGCTCAGTCGGTTAAGCGTCCGACTTCGGCTCAGGTCATGAATTCGCAGTTTGTGAGTTCAAGCCCCGCGTCAGGCTCTGTGCTGACAGCTCTGAGCCTGGAGCCTGCTTCGGATTCTGTGTCTCCCTCTCTCTCTGCCCCTCCTTTGCTCGCACTCTGTCTCTCTGTGTCTCTCAATAATAAATGTTAAAAAATTTTTTTAAAAAGAAATATTTCACTTTTAGGAAAGAATAGATATGAAAATGGAGGCTCTTCAAAGCTGTCCATACTTGTAAACACCTTAAAAGTCTTCACATACCTTCAGGGAATATGTACCCTAGACCGAAAATCACTGTCCTGGATAGGGTGCATAAAGTATGACTGTAAAACAAAACAATGAGTAAATTTGACTGTGTTAAAAATGAAAACCTCTGCAGAAGAATAAACACCATAAACAAAGAGAAGAGACAAGATATTTACATCATGTAAGAGATATGCGATGAGCATGCAGAATAAAAAGAGCTGCTTCTTAAAGAAAAGCAGATTAAAGACAAACAGCTTAACAGAAAAATTAACTAAAGATAGAAGTAGATAATATATACAATAAAACGTGCCTCATATGAAATTATGTTCAATTTCACTAGTAATCAGAGACATGCAGATTAAAACAATAAGAACCCAAGAGAGATGAAAATACATGTCCACAAAAAAAACTCGACAAGAATGTTCATATCAGCCTTATTCATTAATAGCCCCAAACTGAAAAGACACCAGAAAAATGGATAAACAAACCGTGGCATATTCATACAATGGAATTTTACTCAGCAATAAAAAGGAACAAACTAGGGGCGCCTGGGTGGCTCAGTCGGTTGAGCGTCCGACTTCGGCTCAGGTCACGATCTCGCGGTGCGTGAGTTCGAGCCCCGCATCGGGCTCTGTGCTGACAGCACAGAGACTGGAGCCTGTTTCAGATTCTGTGTCTCCCTCTCTCTCTGACCGTCCCCCGTTCATGCTCTGTCTCTCCCTGTCTCAAAAATAAATAAACGTAAAAAAAAAAAAAAGGAACAAACTAATGATAGAGGCAACAACCTGTATTAATCTCAGAAACATTATGCTGAGTCAAAGCAATTGTCCCCCAAAAGAGTACATACTGTATCTAGAAGAGACAAAACTAATCTATCATGGAAAAAAAATCAAAACAGTGGTTACCAGGTGGAAGTGGGAGCAGGGGTTGAACTGGAGGGGAAATAGGGAACTTTTAAAGGGGGGGTGGTAACGTTCTGTATTTTTACAGAGGTTTACATTACACAAGTGTGTATGCATTTGTTAGAACTCTGAATAGATAGTCCTGTGTATACATTTTACCTTAAAAATTTGTAAGCGAATGTTTAACTCTTGTAGACGATATGTATGCCGAAGTGTTTAGAGGTGAAGTTTATTTTTATTTTATTTTATTTTTTAACGTTTATTTATTTTTGAGACAGAGAGAGACAGAGCATGAACGGGGGGAAGGGTCAGAGAGAGAGGGAGACACAGAATCGGAAGCAGGCTCCAGGCTCTGAGCTGTCAGCACAGAGCCCTACGCGGGGCTCAAACTCATGAACCACGAGATCATGACCTAAGCCGAAGTCGGACACTTAACCGACTGAGCCACCCAGGCGCCCCTAGAGGTGAAGTTTAAAGATGTTTTTAATTTACCTGGAAATACATACCAGAATATGATGAATTCAATTATGGATGGAGGGATGGACAGATACATGATCAAACAAATATGACAAAATGCTCATAAAGCCACCGACTGAATTCACTGCATAATTTTTTAAACTTCACTGTATGTTTTTTTAATTCAAAAATTTTTTTAAACGTTTATTCCTTTTTGAGAGACAGAGAGAGACACAGCGTGAGCAGGGGAGGGGCAGAGGGAGGGGAACAGAAGATCTGAAGTGGGGTCTGCCCTGACAGCAGCAAGCCTGACGCGGGGTGAGGTCATGACGGGAGCCCAAGTGGAATGCTCAACCGAGTGAGCCACCCAGGCGCCCCACCCTTTATCAATTGTTAGCAGGTTGCCACATTTGCTTTATCTCTCCATGTGTAACTATACACTTTTTCCCTGAATCATTTGAGAGTAAATCGCATGTAATCCCTGAATACTTCAGCGTCCATTTCCTAAAGGAAAAGGATTCTTCTACCCAACCACAATACAATGATCCCGCTCAGGACGTTTTAACATTTGTTACCGTGTTATTGTCTGATTTATAATCCAGATTCAAATATCTCTAATTATTGTAATAATGGGCTTTAGAAGTGTTTAAAACTCCATCTAGAATCCACTGAAGTGTCACAGATTGTATATAGTTGTCACTTCATTCAGTAAGGCTCCGCAGCCTTTTTTTGTGCCTTTCCGGACATGGACTTTTTTTTTTTTTTTTTTTCAACGTTTATTTATTTTTGGGACAGAGAGAGACAGAGCATGAACGGGGGAAGGGCAGAGAGAGAGGGAGACACAGAATTGGAAACAGGCTCCAGGCTCTGAGCCATCAGCCCAGAGCCTGACGCGGGGCTCGAACTCACGGACCGCAAGATCGTGACCTGGCTGAAGTCGGACGCTTAACCGACTGCGCCACCCAGGCGCCCCCCGGACATGTTTTTAAATGGAGTTTTCAGTTGGAATAATTTGGGATTTACAGAAAACTGGCAGAGACAGAAGAGAGAGCTCCGTCCGCCCTCCAACCAGCACCCCTCGTGGGAGCACCCTTCCTCCCAGGGCGCGTCTGTCACAGTGATGTGGCCACGCCTGACAAGCGTGACCATCCTGTCTCTGTGGCGTCCTCAGCTCTGCCCCAGTCCCTCGGGTTTTCCTTGCTACCTTCTCAGCAAATCTGAGTGACTTTTCACTTAATAAAGTGTCATTTAGCATTTTTTATTATTGTTTCTAAGTCAATTTATAAAACTTAAATATCTTCTCGGTTTTAACTTTGAGTCCACTGACTTGATGAATAGAACGCGCACGAGGGGCGCCTGGGGGCTCAGCTGGCTGGGTGTCCGACTCTTGGTTTCGGCTCAGGTCATGACCCCAGGGTCGGGGGATCGAGGCCCACATCAGGCTCCTCGCTGAGTACAGAGCCTGCTTGGGATTCTCTCTTTCTCTCTCTCTCTCTCCCTCTGCCTCTCTCCCTCACTCACTCGCTCTCTCAAAAAATAAAAAGAAATAAGTAAATAAAAATAGAACCTGCAAGAAACAAAAACTCTTTGGAGTCCTCAGGACCCGGATTTAAGAACTTCTGTCCTAAAGCAGGGTCAGAAGACCAGGACCCTCCATGCAGTTCTGCACACAGAGTCTTTTTTTTTTTTTTTTTTTT